TCGGCAATCAGTAACTGTTATACTCAATGCAAACTGACGATGGACCTTACCAGCTCGCCATCAGGAATCGCAGCGAGGACAATTCCAGATGTAATAAGCCGAACAGGACTTCTGCTTCAGATTAAAATATGCGACCATAAACCCTCTCAAAGTGCGCACCTCCAATTCGACACGAAAATCTTTAGATTTTAACGAAACTCAAATTAAAAAATCGTGAACTATTAGATACTGAAAAACACAACCTTTAAACACCGCACAGAACCAAGGAGATGGTGACCACGAATGCATAATTTAAAGTGTAATTATACGCAAGCCAAAAACAGACACACACGAGACGAAAATGGAAGCAACAAAAAACTATTAAGAATTAACACATTCTGAACAAAACATGCCTCATGTGGTACTTCCTGGATGCGGTCAAGCGCCCTTATGTGATCCAAAGTGTCAATTGAAGGCGAAAGTCCACCATGCAAGCAGAAGATCTAAATCTCATATAACCCGATTAAAAGGACATGTACGGAGTTGTCGACCAAAGCAGTGAGAGGAAGGTAGTCAAAAAGATCCGTAAAGTATTTCCAAACATTTGAGTTTCCGTATTTGCGCAAACACTCGTCATAGAAGCCGTAGACCTGAGTAATTTGACGACTTTCATGGTTCCCTCGCAGAACAGTTATTCGATCACGGAAACGGACCTATGCACATAGTAAGTAAGCAAGAACTTGTAAACCTTAAGAGCAACGAGGAGAGTAACCGTCTCAACGGAGCAGTAACCCCGATCTACGTAGTCACCCATAAACAAGTAGTTAGTGTCCGGAGCCTTCCCCCCAATGCGGAATAACTCCATCATGTCGTGAAACTGACCATGAACATCCCCACAGACAGTAACTGGACTGGAGACATTTTGTACATTTGATTCCTTAGTTAGAATTTCTTTTGCCTACAAAATTGCTCCAGATTAAGAACGGCGAACCTTGTCGCACAGCGATTTAACATGAGCTTCGGATAGCTGCTGACAATTATAAAGCTGCTCAATCCAAGCATCAAGCTCCTTAACTTCCGAGCGACTATCCCCTGTCATTCCTGTGCCGCAAAGAGGCGACAATTATCAGCGAATATTTGAAAACCACGACCCAACCGTTCGAATCCACACAAACAAATTACTACCAATCATGTGTACAGCTTCCGGTTACTCCTATTTCTGAGTGATTTGTTTGTTACTTTCCATGCATTTTATCATATTAATTACTTTTTTGTACTGTATTTTATATTTTTAATGCAATTTTTGACGCGACATTTTTTGCAATTATTTAATTAAGCATCCATTTTCTTAATTTCTCAAATTTTTCTCAAGAATAGCAATCGATGATCCATTTTATAAGACGCTTTAAGCTTTATTAGTGGCTATTAGAAACCCACTCACAACCACGACACCACCAGAGGAAGATGCTCACATTCCCACTCACCCCCTTGAAATCATTTGGGGCCGTTCCCATGCCCGAGAAAGCTGGGCCAACTCCAACAAGGAACCTCTGAGCCGGTTTAAACACCAACACCCACCATGGAACCCAATCGAGCACACCCCACCATTCACGTGTGAGCACAGCCACAACCAAAAACACGTACAAGCGATTAATCGTTCTTGAAAAAATAATTATCTATTTTTGTAAGTCCCAATTCCTTCTTCCGTTTTCCACGCGCCCCTTTCACTTCCCGATCCAATTTGACTTCCTTTTTGGTATGCGGAATTTGCGGAACCTTGTTCACCTCCCTATTCCACTCCTGTTGAACTTTTCGCGCGAAATGAAAGTCCTGGTGCTCGGGCATGAGATGCATCAGCACATAAGAGCCACAATCCGCACACAAGACCTTTTCAGCCGTTGGACTATGGCGTTGAAAATAGATTAGCTCATTGCTGGTACTCGTTTCTTCTTGAGTTCCATTGTCAGCTACACGGGGGGAGACCTCGCGAGCCACTTTAGGTGTAGACTGATCCTCATCCTTCCTATCTTCAATAAGCTTACGGAAGAACGACTCCCTTTTAAGCCGTTTCGGTGGTTCAGTGAGAAGCTTCTTCACATCCCCACAGGCTACACTGTGGTCAGATATGAACTTCCCCACCGAGAGAGATATGTTTGTGATGGGAGCAGTCCCAACAAGGCCTCGCACTGCTCCATGGGCCATTTCAGCGATCCTTCTGGCAATCTGAGACTCCGCTTCCTCATTTATTTGCTGGGAACGTGGAGGAATAGAGGCCAGTATGCCAGGATTAAGGGTTTTCGACCTCAAATCTGTTTTGTCGGAGCGGAGAAAAATTGACAAATTGGTGGGCAGACGACTGTGATTGGCTCTATCAATGGCGACCCGCTCAACTATTTCACTAGCCAAATTGATCATCCATTGGAAAATCTCGTCATCCTTTATGAGCGCAGATTTCCCGAAGAAGTTTTTACTGCAAGCGATGGATTTTACTAGAGATCGAACACTCACTGCTTGGTAGTCTCGTCCTCGACATAGTTCGTACAACCAGGTGCTGAAACGGATAGAAATACCCATCGTTTTGGAACCCAAGTAATACTACCCTCGTCGCCGACTTTTACATGAATTCGTGGGGTGCAATGCAGCACTACAGCGCAAAAATACGATCAAAGTGAACAAAAACAATTTTGTCTAAATTGTATTGCTAAACCGACAGAAAGTTAGAGATCATGCGATGAAAAAGAACATACTATCAACTAATAATAAATAATCACTAAATAAATAAATAAATAAATAAAATAAATC